GAAAGAAAAATTATTATTTAATATAGTGGGATTGATTTTTTAGATGCTTGAATTTTATATTTTATCGTGCCTTCAGGCACGAGTTATAAGTAGTATATATAGATGAGTACAAAATATACAAAACTGAACTGAAAAAAAAAAAAAAAATACATGGATTACTTGAATGGGCTCTCCAGATGAATGAGGAAGGGCCAAAGGTTGGACCAACAAAGCCCACTGTATCCCTGGTGTCACCATAATATTCAATTAGCACCCATAATAGCTTTTGACAAAGTATGGAACTAAGTTATAAGAACAATGTAAATTGAAACAACAAGATTGGAAATTAAATGCAAAAACAAGTGTGGATTAAACTATAATAGTGATCATGAACTGATTAATAATACACCTCAAGTGATCACAATGACATAATCTCTTGTATTAGATTTTAAAATAAAACAAGCAATCTGAAAAGACTAGGCTTATGTACAGTATGTAATCTTAGACCTTTCTAAGATCTAAGAACTAGCATTCTCCTAATCAGACAATTAGACCTTTAGCCTTTTCCTACACTTTCCCACCACCCAAACCTTCTGTAAAAGAGAACACATTAACCCAATATCTGGTAACATATGGATTATTCTGCACAATCCCACTTATAAAGGACACTTTCAAGCATCCACCTTCGAAACATTAAGAAATGTAAACCCCAAATCACTAATCCTTTTTCCATAGTCTGCATTCTCTTAGCGAATAAACATAATACCAAACGATACTCATTAATCGAATAGAGTCGAAATGATTTAAAGCCTTGGAGTAATGAATAACATAGCACGTAGCAGGAAAAAAATGAGTGACATAGCAACATCGAACCAGAAACTTACATTTTGTAAAAGAATAGAAGCTTGTTCCAGCTAGTACGCTGCGACAAAATAATACTGCAATACACCTCATTGGTTAAAATTGATCTATCCTTCAGAAACATGAACATATCTCACTTTGAAATAAAGAGATAGCTCAACCATAAGAAGCCTACAAGCAGAAGTTGTCAAAGAGAATAATGATTCTTCTTATTATCAATTTGATGTCGAAAAAATAGATCAATTGACATGCTATTTGACTTTACAGTCCCTAGTATTTCATCACTTTGCAATTTATAGTATGAAAAATTTACCCCACTAAATTGAATAATAATCTCACAAACAAACAGAGTATAAGAAGAGGGAAGCAACTCAAACTAAGTTTAAGTGAGGCAGAAAAAGTTAAGCATTCACATTAGTACATATAAGCTAAAAAAATACACATCACAACTTGGTCGAGTCATGTCAAATGAGTATAACTTCAGCACAATTTTATTGTCTTATTTTGTTTTAAAAAGGTATCGCATGATAATTATACTAGGTGAAAATAAAAGAGGAAAACAGAAGATAAAAAAAGAAGTCCATATGAAAAACAAACGCAGTATGATTTAATCTTTTTTTCCCGATTAGTTGTTTTTGCCCATTCTCAACATCCAAACCATTCAACTTACCAGCATATTTCTCATGTGAACTATTAAAGTAACTTTCTTTGGACTTCATGACTGTATGTTGAACAAGTAAGCAAACTATCCAAACCAGAAAACAACAGTTTTCTCAACTTCCAACAGCTCTACAAGCTTATTCAATCCGCCATGATCCACTTTTCAGTATTATCCATACAATAAATGTCACTTGGGCTCAACAGCCGACAGAGTTATTGGCATAGAGACTAAATTCGCAAAAGTTGTATTGACAAACACCATTCCTATCTGTCCCACATGTGGACAGATCCCTGTTGTTCAGAAAATCTATGACCCAATTGAATTAATTTCAGAACATAAGTGGATAAATTATTACATCACAGATTAATGCTTTCGGTATCGGGATTGAATCACTTATGATATGTTTGGTAGGAAGGATGAAAAAGATTTGCCATCTCTAGAGGGAAGAAATATATTTTCCCTCATTTATGTTATGTTTGGTACGATGGATGAAAAATTGAAGAGAAGTATTTTCCTTTGTTTAGTATTGAATGAAAAATTAGATGGAAAGGAAAAATATATATATTAAATTTACAATTATACCCTCACATCTAAGTGGTGAATTTTTCTATAATAATTATCATAAAAAATTTGGTAAAAGGGTTGAATTGCAAAACACATGAACCACTGTTCAGCATACATCCCCTTCAAACCAGATTCCAAAGTTGGATCCTATATCAAATATTTTTTTTGTTTTTAAAGAAAGAGAAAAAATTTATTGAATAAAAAAAAAATTTAAAAGAAGGAATTTTATTTATTTAAACCAAAATTACAAGAATCAAAGTAAGCAAAGCTTTACAAGAAACAAAGAGCAAATTAAGGCTTTAATCCAACAAAACATAAATTTCAACAAAATTCCTTCAACAAAGCCAACTGCCCAGCAACCTCCAACAACTTGCATCAGACATCAAATGCCCTCTTCAGAAGTCAGAACTAAGACGGAACTAACACCTCCATCAGCTTTTATTATCACACTCACACATACAGACCCACTCCAGACCCACACAGAAACACACACACACACACACAGAAACACGCAGAACACACACACTTCGTCCTCACACACCCAACACACATTACACACACAGAAATTAAACTTAGAATAGAGAAAATTATAGAAATTAAACCTAAAAATATAGAGATCTATGTATATATATACATAGATCCATCTATATAGGGCCTTTAGAGTTACCTTGAGAGAGAGAGAGAGAGAGAGAAGTCGATTGAGATCTGAAGCAACCACATCGTGATTGAAATATTTTTTTATCTAAATATAATATTTTTAGCTTAAAGAGTATAAATATTATACACTTACAAATTTTAGGGAGTTTGAGCGTAATTTACTAACAAATATTCTAACGGCAAAGAGTCTAAGTGTTAGGCGCGTACAATTCTTAGAGGTCTGTGTGTAATATTTCAAATGTCAAAAAGTTTAGATGATTAAGTGACAAACCTCAAGAGATTTAAGTGTAATTCTCCCTAAAAAATAATAATGTTTATAATTGAGGTCCAATCAATTAAATAAGCTTCTAAAATTAATCTAGATTGAACTTAAAATCTTTAAGTGCAAATCCAAATTCTAAACTCAACTCGGTTGGATCCAATCACAAGCCCAAATTAATTAAACAAGCTTCCTAAATTAAGGAAAATCTGAAGGCCGATACACAATATAACACTTAATTGGGCAAAAGTCATTTCCGGAAAAACGTTTTGCACAGAGGTCCATTATTATTGTAAATGTAAAATATACCCATAGGGTAATACTAACTGGTACAATCTCATGGGTTTGCAAACAGCCAAAACTCGAGCATCTTTTCCACGAAATTCAACCACAAAGATATTGTGCAAAACATGATGTTTGAATTCAAATAAAGAATGTCATAAAATTCATAAGATTTTAACCAAATCAAAAAAACAAACAACCGAAATTGTTGAGGACAAACAAATCGTTTGTTTGTGTATTGACAGTAGATACGTTAGACTTGAACTTAAATTCCATAAGCCCAAATAATATAAGTTCATATTTAATTAAACAAGTTTTTAATCAAATAGGACTTAAATTCCATAAGCTAAAATTAAACAAACTAAATTTCATAAAACCCATAAATTTATCTAAAAATGGGTGGCCAACTACGCAAGCCCATAAAAGTGTGTTAAGATAAAATACCTTTATATGAATAGCTATTTCAACACTATAAATAGAGGTCTAGGTGAAGTCAAGAAGGAGAAGAAAAGAGGAGAGAAAGAGAAGGGAAGATCAAGAATCTTTGTCCAAGTCCATCTAAGAAGGAGAAAGGAAAAATTAGTAGCGAAGATTTACCAGAATCTATCCATAACCGAAGTTTTGCAAATCCATCTTAGGAGGAGGATGAAATATCAAGAAGCTCTGCCCAAGTCCATTGAAGGAAGAGAAAGAAAGATCAACAATGAAGCTTTGTCGGAGTCTACCTTCGACCAAAGTCTTGCGAATCCATTTCTGAAGATAAGAGCACACCGCCAAGGTCTTTTTTCAAGAGGTTTAAGTCATCTTCAAGTCGATCTTAGTGAAGAACGATGAGAAGATTCATCAAACTGAATAATGACAGATACATTGATTTAATTCTCATATTTGTCAAATCCACCAAAACTGTCACCAATTAAAGATTGAAAAGCACGCTGATCCGACTCTCATCTTCACCATATCAACTGAGAATCAGAATTCAGTACACGTGAGGCGCACACCAAAGAAAGTCAAAATTACTTTTTCAAATCATATGTTGAAGGATTGTCTCTTCTTCTTTTGTTTTCGAGAACTGTCCTAACAATATACCTCTAGATTTCTAGTTATTGTGTTAATTCCGAATATACATAATCACCGGTAAATTACATGTGACGGCTTAATCAAGACATTTTTGTGAGATTCAAACTTTCATATGTGAATTGCAATATATTGATTGTGTTGGGATTATACTTCGGTGGTATATTCTCTTTTAAGGGCAATGTTATATAGAAACTTAATTCAATTAGTAGTGATTTTCACTGTTAGAACTACTTTTAATCCAACATAACATGTTTTCTCTTTTAATGCTTTGGAAAACAGAATCAAAATGTCGATCATCATTGCTTTTCCGGGGCTATTTCAACAATGAGAGAACAACTGAAAATTTAAGGCAGACATAGAAGAAAATTAACACATAGAAATAATATGAATTACATGCAAAATGTTACCTGGCCTTAAAATGTGAATTTAAAATATAAACCATCACAATAATTGAATAAATAGTGAATTCCAATAAATATTGAGACCTACACTAAATTTAATGACATTGATTAATCAAGTTTATATTTTAAGTCCACGTAACTTTGGTCAAAATTACACCGGAAGCTAAAACTTTGGAAGAATTCAAGAGTTTTCTGACCATGAGAGAGAGAGAGTTTAGTGTCCATGAACTTATTACTCATCATTATGAGAGTCGTCTGGCTTACAAGAGAGAGTTTAGTGTCCATGAACTTCTTACTCATCATTATGAGAGTCGTCTGGTTTCTCAGTGTAAAGCCAACCAAACTTTTCCATATAAGGATTGACCATTGTGTTTGGAGGGTAGTTATCAATGCAGTCCCCCCAAACATTTCCATCTTCCAAGTCTCTAACCACCTCCCACAAACAACTATTGCATTTAAAACCAGCTCCAAAACTAATCATCAGAACTCTGTCCCCCCTTTTCAGCCTCTTCTTGGCCTCCATGTAACCTAGAACATACCAGAGGCTACTAGCTGATGTGTTTCCAAATCTATGCAGTGTCATTCTTGATGGTTCCACATCATGCTCACCGAGCTCCAGACTGTTTCTGATTCTGTCGATCACCGCCGAGCCACCGGGGTGCAGGCAGAAATGATCCACACCAGTCTTCAAATTCAGGCTTACCTGTTTACAACATTTGAATTATGTGTAAGACTACCTCCGATGAAATTTAAACCCTTACACAAATTTGAGTAAGAAAAAAAAATAAAAAACTTAGCTTTGATATAAACCTCTTTGATAGAGAAATTCAAATTTAAAGGAAAACAAACTCATATTTAAATGAGAACAAATTTAAATTTAAATTTAAATTAGAGTAAAATATGATTATTGGATGTTTAAAAGAAAGTAAAATTTCATCATTAAAGATTTAAGTATAAATTTGAATCTCCCTTCATTTGGAGAAAATATTCATTATACGGTGATACCACGTGACAAGGTAATATAGTATCACCAACCAATAATATTAAAACAAATAAATAGATAAACCCATANCCCCCCCCCCCCCCCCCAAGATATATATAATGCACACAAGCTTGAAGCACGCACAAAGGCCACATAGTGTAATTCAGCACATTGTCTAAAGTTAACAAATTAAGTTTAAATAACATTATTTTATAACAAAAATATTGATATATATACTTCTTTAGTAAGTATTGACACATATGTTTCTTTTTGGGCAAAGGCATTGACATGCATGTTAATGGAGGAGAAGACTTAAGAGTATGAATTACATGTCAAACTTTTAACACACTTACAAATTTTAGGGGTTATGAATATAATTTATTAACGGATATATTAACAGACATTGACGGTAAGGGTCTAAGTGTTATGTGCGTACAAAATTCAAGGGGTCTGCATATAATATTTAAAATATTAGGGGTCTAAGTGATTAAGTAACAAATCTTAGAGAGCNTATATATACATAGATCCATCTATATAGGGCCTTTAGAGTTACCTTGAGAGAGAGAGAGAGAGAGAGAAGTCGATTGAGATCTGAAGCAACCACATCGTGATTGAAATATTTTTTTATCTAAATATAATATTTTTAGCTTAAAGAGTATAAATATTATACACTTACAAATTTTAGGGAGTTTGAGCGTAATTTACTAACAAATATTCTAACGGCAAAGAGTCTAAGTGTTAGGCGCGGACAATTCTTAGAGGTCTGTGTGTAATATTTCAAATGTCAANGTCTGAATGTATTCTCCCAATTTATTTTAAAAAAATTTGAAGTACTCATTTGAATTTAAGATTTGATGTCATAGATAGATCCTCACCAAGCAAAAGAAATTAGATAAATGATAAATAATAAATAATTATCTAAAGTCATAGGGTGATAATTGTAATTTTTTTTCATTCAATTGTAGATCACCGCATAGGACTTTACATTTTTGTAAGTGAGCCCCTCTCCCATATATGGCAGGCAATATACTACTTTGAGTGAAAGTGCACTAGGAAAGATCTCAATTTTCTTCCGGCCCCCCAATAAATCATANTGATAATTGTAATTTTTTTTCATTCAATTGTAGATCACCGCATAGGACTTTACATTTTTGTAAGTGAGCCCCTCTCCCATATATGGTAGGCAATATACTACTTTGAGTGAAAGTGCACTAGGAAAGATCTCAATTTTATTCCGGCCCCCCAATAAATCATGTACTCTTCCATTTGGTTGTAGTTATTACATAAAAGAATTTTCAAGCAATAAATTTTTCTATTTCAACAAAAGAAAATACTGCATAACTCAAATAAAACCCAAAAATTAAAACCTAAGCGTATATCTTCCCCCGGATGAGTGGATTCTACTGAAAAAATTTATTAGATTCACTCATCCAAAAAATGATACTCCCTTTGTTCCTAAATATTTANGTTGTAGTTATTACATAAAAGAATTTTCAAGCAATAAATTTTTCTATTTCAACAAAAGAAAATACTGCATAACTCAAATAAAACCCAAAAATTAAAACCTAAGCGTATATCTTCCCTCGGATGAGTGGATTCTACTGAAAAAATTTATGAGATTCACTCATCCAAAAGATGATATTCCCTTTGTTCCTAAATATTTGTCGTTTAAGATTTTTGCACAGGAATTAAAGAAATTATTAAATAGTTCTAATATGTGTAAAAAATAATTACACAAGACTAAAATGTTCTGGTTCAATACGTATTGGGAAAGAAAAGAATATGAAAGGCACTTAGTCCACACTTAATCTATTAAGCACTTATTGAAAAATAGATATAAGGGTAAATTTGAAAAAAAAAAATATTTATTANGTCGTTTAAGATTTTTGCACAGGAATTAAAGAAATTATTAAATAGTTCTAATATGTGTAAAAAATAATTACACAAGACTAAAATGCTCTGGTTCAATACGTATTGGGAAAGAAAAGAATATGAAAGACACTTAGTCTACACTTAATCTATTAAGCACTTATTGAAAAATAGATATAAGGGTAAATTTGAAAAAAAAAAATATTTATTATGCTTTGGTTTCATAAAACGACAGATATTATGGAACAAAAGAATTGTATAAAATGACAGATATTTAGGAACGTAAGGAGTATGCATTTGGGTTACAATTATTTAAATTTTATTTGGGTTTTAATAATACTAATAGTACTTAATTTGCCACCTAATCTATCACAATTACTAGATTTCTAATAGGTCCAATAAATACAGAAATTCGTAGTGAATCCAATAATTATAATTAATTATGTGCAAGTGACATTAATGTTTCTATTTAATGAGGTTGGTCGAGGTTTGGAGATACTTGTTGCAAGACATGGCCCTGACGAAGGGAGGGAGTCTTTAATGCAAGGTGTTGGTGCATCCAAAACCGACTATGTGCAAGTTTTTTTAAAACAACCACCATGTGCCGTGCTCGACAAAATACCTCTTATAAGAAACACCATCATAACAATCAAGGGCCCTCCCGTAGGTATAGGCCATTAAGGCAGCCTCTTAGGTCCCCAAATAAATAATAATGGCATATGCCTAGGATGCCAAATAAATAATAATATTTGAGGCCCACAATTTTTTTTAAACGATTCAATTAAAATAATTTTAGGGTCCTCAATTTTAAGTGTAATTTATAAATTAATAAAAGATTGATACGCCATTAATGAGTTTGAGTCTTATCTTAGTAAATTTGAACGATAAATAGATAAAATTATTTAGTCCTTCAAAATAGTAAGCCGACATGATCCCAACGAAATGCGACACAAACTTGCTAAACTATACATGATTATAAGTAGGACGGACATATATTATACACATTCTGACATGATACAAATGAATAATTATTCTTATATTACTTTTATTCTTTTAGTCTTGCTTATGTTTATATAAATACTAAAAAAATGAATTATCTCCTCATACAATACTTTTAATTTATTACAATCAAAGTCAAGTGACTGATTAATTATTTATCACCTAATTTTCATAAATTATAATTTTTTCTCAACTTAAATTCGAGACTTTTTTTTTTTTATCTGTATCTATTTTTTGCTCAACTATTTTTTTCAATACGCCAGAAACACACACATAATGACTTAAAAACATATTTAATTTGAATAGTTTATTATTCAAATTTCTTACTAACATTCGTTTTTTGAAAAATAATTTCGTTGTATTAATAAATTTTAATTCTCTTTCTCAATATTTTCAACTTATGGCAAATTTAATTATATTTTAGTCTCTAAATTCAACTTCAATTAATGTTTTTTTTATAATAAAACTAAAGCTTGACTGCAAAACTAGTAGTTTTACATCTCAAATACAAATAAAAAAAAATGTAATGAATATATATTAATATTTTAATATTTATCTATCATATCTATTTTATAATATAAAATATGACAGATTTTAATAAGTTCATCCGACGATCTCTAATAAATTCATCAAACAGTCACTCACATCCCTTTTAAAATCATACCAAACATATTGAATTTCCCCTTCTCTAAATTTATCACTTCTCACTTACGTTACACCATACCGTCAAATACCCGTTACCTCTAGCATTGAATCCCATTGAATATTTTCGCCTCGGCAACCACAGTGGTTGTGCTGCTACTGATCACGATAGCACTTGCAAGTTGCAACATCACGACTTCTTACTCCCCATTAATACTAGGTTGGTTTTTTGGGTTTTGCCACAACATTTGGAATTTGGTCTCTATTTTATTTAGTTTAGTATTTTCTAATATGGATTCTGAACTCATTCAACTTGTAGAGCACCTTTGAATAACCCATTTTGACAACTTAAAAAATATAACAAGCCCTTAACGATCGAAGACCCACACATGATTGAAAAATCTACCGGTAAAAAAATATTCAACGGACACGATTCAAGTTTTTACCGAGTCATTATTTTATTTGTTTCTACCTAAGTCTGTTAATGAATTAGATTCTATTCGAATCTAATTAGACGAATTTAAATTGATATTTTTAATTGATAATTCGAATTTAAATTCAATATCTTATATTACGGATTCAAATTTGAATATATTTATATTCGACCTGAATTGTTTTTATATAAATATTAAAAAATTAAATGGTTACTTAAATATATTTAATTAAATTTAGGTATAATTTATTAAAATTTAATTAATTTNAGAAGTCAATAATGTAATACAAGCTCAAAATTAAAACTCACTACAATGTAGCCCAACAAAAAACCTCCAAAAAGAATAAGAAAACAAAATCAATTTAAAAATGTTGGCATTATTAAAACAAGTATAATGAGTATCTCTCTCCAATCCAAAAAATAAATATTAAACTAAACACTTTTTTTATTTCTCTCAAACGNTAATTTATTTAGATCGAATAAAATTTTAAATTATTAACAAATTTAAATATGGGTCACAAAAATAAAATTCGCCCCATTATTAAATCGGATTCGAATCTATGCACATTTCCCCAGGACAATAACTTTGAACAACTAGACTTTACTAAATGTGTATTCACTTTAAGTTTAGGACAGCGTTGGTGGGGCCGACACTTGTGTTACAGGTGTTCCTCACTCACGGCAACTCAACTACCTTATTTAGGGCTTAGGATCATCTCCTTTATGTTTTCCAGATGCAGGGTGGCTCAATTATATTTTGGACCTAAAGGAATGACGGTGAATGAGAATTTTTTATTTTTTTAATAATAATTTAATTTTTTAATTTAAAATCTATTATTTTTACTTTTTGATGAGATTCAAAATTACTAATTATTTTATTATTCAAATTTTTTTAATATATTTTTTTGATCATAAATATTTATAGGAATAAAATTAATTTCTTCATTAATATTTTTATGTTCTTTTTATTTGTTTTATATATTCTTTAACAAAACTATGGTGGTATTAGATGATTGATTTTATTATAAATAAATTCNAATATTTATAAGAATAAAATTAATTTCTTCATTAATATTTTTATGTTCTTTTTATTTGTTTTGTATATTCTTTAACAAAACTATGGTGGTATTAGATGATTGATTTTATTATAAATAAATTCATTGTCAACTTTTTTTTAGATTATTTTACTCTCTTTGAATTTTATTTATTTACCTATACAACTATCATCTAAATTTTTGTTATATTTTATTTATTACGAATAAGAACTTTATCCAAGTATTTTTTTTAATGATAATGAATGGTTTAATTTGTGTTTTGTGTTCAAATGAAAAAGAAAAAGACACAAATTTAA